CATAAATTAAAACAAGGCGAAATAAACAACAAATATTTTTTAATGGAAATTTAGGTCAATGAAAAAAAAAACCGAAAACAAAAACAAATTCAAAATTTTTCTTCAATTCCACAAAATAATTACATGATTTTGTATGGGAATTCGAGGGGATCATTTGTTTAAAAAATTTTTTTTTGAATAGAATTTTTGAAGAAAATTCAGGGTGAGAAAAAAAATCTGCAACAAAGTCAACAACAAAAAAGAAAATAAACAACAAATATTTTTAATGGAAATTTAAGTCAATAAAAAAAAACAAAAACAAAACAAGTTCAAAATTGTTCTTCAATGCCACAAAATAATTACATAATTTTGGATGGACATTTTAGGGGATCATTAGTTTAAAAAAAAATTTGAATAGAATTTTGTAAGAAAATTCAGGGTGAGAAAAAAAATCTGCAACAATAAAAGAAAAAAATCAAATTTTAAAATAAGTTCAGATTTGTTTGAATTTGTCACCTTTGCCACGAATTATGGCTTTCAAACGCCCAATGAAACTGTCACATGCTGTCCTAATGTTGGTCGGCGGTATTTTGGCCCATTCCCGGAGAAGCGCTTGCTTGAGGTGATCGACATTTGGTATTTTTTACTGCCAACCATGCTTTCCAAAATACTCCAGACACAACAGTCCAACGGATTGGATTCCGAAGATTTTGGTGGCCATAGTGGAAATGAAGCGAGGAACCTCATTTTGTAAACATTCTTGGGTGGAGAGTGCTGAGTCCTGATGGAATGTCCACGGTCTGCGGCCAAAATGTTTGCGTGCCCAAGGCTTTAATACACCCTCCAGAATATTTTCGCCATAATATTCGGCATTTATTCTGATGCCACGGTTAATTAATATAAACGGAGAGCGACCATCGGCTGTTATGGCGGCCCACACCATCACCATGACCGGTGCTTGAGTTCTGGTGGCCAACCGAAGGTGCACATTTTCAGCTGACCTCTTTGGCAATCTTTGGCAAGTAAACATGATCATTTTGTTTATTTACAAACTGCTGGACAACGAACGCTTTCTCATCGGAGAAAACCAAATTCAGCAGTTCACCACATTCGGCCAAGCGAAGCAATTCTTTAGCTCTTTTGAGTCCTTTTTTGCGTAAATTCTTGCACTTTTCGGAATTTCAATGCCTCATTTTTCAATATTAGCCGAATGGAATATTCCGATATGTTCATCTCATGAGCCATTTTTCGGCCACTGCGACGTGGGTTTCGGTCAAGTCGCTTCTTTACTTTTCGAACCATTTCTGCCGATGTTGCTGCTTTCTTCCGTCTACCAGTATCACGGGCAATGGTACCAAGTGTCTTAGAAATGACAGCAGTCTGAAGTTGGTTGCAGTTTTTTCATCTCACCCTGTCTTGTGGAACATAACATTTCCCATAGTAACGCTCTGAAATCATAGATTTTTTTCAGGAAATGAATCACTCGAATTTCCTTTGAAAATTATAAATCATCCTTTTGGACACATCATTTCCGTTCATTTGCAAGGCCTCCTTAACCTTGTCGTGGTTCTGATTCCATTGTTATTTTTTTTTTCAAAGAATAAGGACGGTAGAAACATAACTGCAAAAACCAATCCTTATTTTCGAACCAAAAAAGAAAGAGAGACGAGCTAGTTTTTGCTGGCAGCCCTTTACCGCTCGTCAAAATAAAGACTTGGAGTTGGCAGTTGTTTTTGTTATTTTTCGCCAACTATGAAATGAACGGCACCTACGAGCCATGGCGTGTTGTGAGGTGTAGGAACCCGAAGTTTTTTTTTCAGTTATTTCATTAAATGGCTTGTTGTCGGTTTTGTTTTCCGACCATTTGCATTTCAATCACAGACCTCAGGGAGATTTTTGAAGGAGGGCAAAGAAAAAACTAACAGAAAACAAAACTTCACTCCAGTCAGCCATCCAGCCAGGTGAGTCGTCAGGATAGCTTGCAGAACTTGAATACAAGAAAATTGCGGAGGAAACAAAAGGACAAGGTGATGGTGGCCGCCCCGTACTTGGCTGGGTGAAGAAATTAATTAAATGTGTCTGTCAGTGAACATGGAATGGGAAAAGGGCAGGTTTTCTTGGGTATTTTAAGAGATGTTGGTGGCATTGTTACAATATATAAGAGAGAAGGGATTGCATCCAAAAAGAAACTGGGATTTAAGTTGGCAAAAATTCCCACAATACCCCCATACACACACTAACCCCCATCATCCATTAAAAAACTAGTTTTGCCCTCTAAAAAAACAATAAAACTTCATGGCAGGACATAAATTACCAACATTCCAAGTCCAAGACTTTGGCGGCATCGTAAAATTGTTAACTGCCGTTTATAAATCAACGACTTTGAATGTTATTGCCAAAATAAAGAGAAAGAGAACCGTTTAAAAACGGAATTGGCAAAGGGTTGGTGTCTTGAGGACAAATTGCCAAAGGCTAAAGCGAAAATACAATGACCTTAAGGGGCCTTGGTAACAACAACAGCGCAATTTGTTGAGAGACACACTCAGAGTTGATGTGTCGCAGAGACACACACAGAGACAAGAAATACTGAGAATACCACGACATGTCAATGGAAGGCAAAGCTACAATGGTTTTTTTCTAGCTTGGCTAGACAACTGGAATAATGCAGCCATTCATAAAAAAAAAAAACAGAAAAGGGGATTCTAAAACAAAGGATTCCATTAGAAAATTTAGAACAAAAAACCATGTCAAGATCACAAAAATATAAATCAAAATAATAATGGTATTGTGGAACATAATATTTTCCATGAAAAGCCATTTTGTGGAACCTACAATTTTCTGTTGAAACATTTCGGATGTTAATATTTTCTTACGAACATCGTTTGAAAACTGTAATTTTATAGAGAAAAAGTTGTGGAACGTAAGATATTTTAAAGAAAATCTTGTGGAACGAAACATTTTCTATAGAAAATTTTGCGGAACGTAATAGTTTTTTGAAGAAATCGTGTGGAATTTAATGTCTTCTAGAGGAAATCTTGTGGAACGTAATTTTTTTTGATAGGATATTTAATGGAACATAATATTTGTTAAAGAAAGTATTGTGGAACGTATTATGTTCTATAGAAATTCTAGTGGATTGTAATTTTTTTTAGAAAATCTTGTGTTTTTAATGTTTTCTAAAGAAAATCTTGTGGAATGTAATATAAAAATACTTGTGGAACGTAATATGTGATATAGAAGTCTTGTAGAATTCAATATTTTCGATTAAAAATAGTGTGGAACGTAATGTTTTCTGTAGAAGATCATGTGGAACGCAATATATTCTAAAGAAAATCTTGTGGAAAGTAATATCTTTTTAACATTAAATATTTTTTTAAGAAAGTCTTGTGGGACGAAATATACTTTATCTAAAACCTTGTGGAAGTTAAAATTTTTATAAAAAAATTTAGTGGAACGTAATATTTTCTATAAAAAATTGTGTTGTACGTAATATTTTCTTTAGAAAATCTTGTGGAACGTATTATTTTCTATAGAAATTTTTGTCGAATGTAATATTTTTTATAGAAAATTTGTGGAACGTAATATAAGTATTCTTTAGAAATCTTGTGAAATTCAATATCTTCGATTAAAAATTGTGTGGAACGTAATATTTTCTAAAACAAACTACTGCAAGGCATTTTTTGCTATAGGAAATCTTGTGGAACATAATATTTTCTATAGAAAATCTTGTGGAACGTGACATTTCCTGAAGAAAATCTTGTGAAACTTGATGTTTTTAATGACAAATTTGTGGAACCTAATTGTTTTTATAGAAATGTTTTTCAAAGTAACATTTTTTTGAAGAAAATCTTGTGGATGGTAATAGCTTTTATAGAAAACCTAGCAGAACGTAATAGTTTTATATAAAATCTTGTGGAACGTAATATTTCTATAGAAAATCATGTGGAATTCTATATAAAATATTGTGGAACGTATTATTTTCTATGGAAATTTTTGTCGAATATAATATTTTTATAGAAAATTTGTGGAACGCAATATATTCTTTAGAAGTTTTGTGAAATTCAATATTTTCGGCTAAAAATAATGTGGAACGTTATATTTTCTACAGAAAATTTTGTGGAACGTAATATTTTCTAAAACAAACTACAGCAATGTATTTTTTTCTATAGGAAATCTTGTGGAACATAATATTTTGCATAGAAAATCTTGTGGAACGAGACATTTCCTAAAGAAAATCTTGCGAAAGTTGATGTTTTCTAAAGAAAATTTTGTGGAACGTAATTGTTTTTATAGAAACTCTTGTCAAAAGTAACATTTTTTGAAGGAAATCTCGTGAAAAGTAATAGTTTTTATAGAAAATCTTGTGGAACGTAATAGTTTCTATAGAAAATCTTTTGGCTTTTGTGGAACGTATTATTTTCTAAAACAAACTACTGCAACGCACTTTTTTCTATAGGAAATCTTGTGGAACATAATATTTTCCATAGAAAATCTTGTGGAACGTAATATTTTCTATAGAAAATCTTGTGGAATTTTTTATAAAATCTTGTGGAACGTATTATTTTCTAAAACAAACTACTGCAACGCACTTTTTTCTATAGGAATTCATATGGAACATAATATTTTCCATTGAAAATCTTGTGGAACGTAATATTTTCTAAGGAAAATTTTATATTCTCCATAGAAAATTTTTTGGAAAGAAATGTAATTATTATAGAAATTTTGGTGGAACGTAGTTTTTTATATAAAAAATCTTGTGAAACGTAATATAAAAAAAAATATGTGAAAAAAAATATGTGGAACGTAACAGTTTCTGTTGAACGTATTATTTTCTATAAAAAAATTGCATTGGAGAACATTTCACATTTTCTTAAAAAATAATGTGGAACATAATATTTTCATTGGAAAATTGTGTGGAAATTATAATTACCATTCTCACTTTACTCTTGCATTGAAAACAATATTCTATAGATTCTCATTTCTAATAATTCTTTCTTTCTTTTTTGTTGTTTATTTTGCAGCCTCTCTGACACTTTCTGCAGTAGAACAAACAAAATAAAGCAAAAAAGAAAAACAAAAACTACTTCAAAAACCACCTCTTGACTTCATTTCCAAGAAGATGCAAAATAGGAATTTCTTAATCATCCCAGACGTCGTCATCATCGATGCCATCCTGCCACACATGTGATGGATACACGCAGCAAACAGAAACGTCTTGGCCCGGCGCCAATTGCTTCGTTCGAAAAGTCCTTTGAGGATCCTTCACCATTGACTGTAGCAACGATAGCGGCTCAAAATGAAATTGCTGAATCGGGCAATAATGCCGGACTCGGCGACGAGGGCGAATTGGAAGTAAACCAAGTGATTGGGAATATGGAATGCAATGACGATGCTACTACAGCTGCTTGTGCCATTGCCAAAGGCCTAAACGTTGCCGGCCAATGGTATGAAGAGGTAAGTTGCACGGTGGGGTTGGGGGTGGTGGGAGCGTGGTTGTGAAACAACAAATAACAGATTGACCTCAATAATAAATAAATAAAGTGAGGAATTGAACAGAAATGGGGATTTGATTTGTGGGCAGGAAAAAAGTAATCAGAATTGCTATCGATATGGGAATTATACGATTCGCTATGAATTACTTACTTAGTGAGGCGGACAGAAGATTTACATATATATGTGAAATTAATTGAAGAGAAAAAAATTGAAGTTGTAACACAAAATATGGATGTCTCTATGATTTTGCCCCCATCTCCTTGTTAAAGGAAGCACAATCCCATTCCATGAAGTCCTTGTTTGGTTTTACGGCAATTTCTAATTATTTCCCTTACCATTTCCTCTTTGGCAAACGTGCCCCATAAAATTTCACCCATGTTATTTTGATTTAAAATTAAAATACTTTGATTTCCCCCTAAATCACTCACGTACACAGTTACTCTCACACACGCACTCTCACCCACCTACACCACACAACAACAATTGAAAAATTGTTAAACATCTTTGGATAATATTTAGCATTTACAAGTTGACACTTTAAGTTCTTGCTCACGCATTTAAATAAAAGCTCACTTACAAAACTACACACACAGACACTCATAAAGACACGTTCACATTGCGTTGATTTTAACTAAGTCAACTAACACGGTCACGCATTTACACTATTCCGTTAGACTCGCTCATTCACTCACACATCACACAGTTACTCAATAGAGCAGCAAACATTGATTTCTATGACTTTGCGTAACAACAACAACAACAGCAACTACAAAAAATAATTTACAAATACAATTATTTCAAGTAATACTAATCCACACACAGACACACACACTTACCGACAAATCATTAGCAAGGAAAACGTTATTTACTCTCTCTCCCTCTCTCACTGTATAATAGGGAGATAAAAATAAATGTTTATAGATTTAGGCGACAGATGACTGGGAGATAGGGACGAAAAAAAAAACGTTGGACAGACATCCAGTCAGTCAGCCAGTTTTCCATATATGGTAGTACCAAACAAAAGAAGAAGAAGAAGAAGTAATAAAAAAGAAAAGATGTAGAAGAAAAAAACATATTCCTCAATCACGTGGCTCTTCTTTGTGGAAGAATGGTAAAAAATAATGTAGTATTCACTTCACTTCATAATGCTTCATGTAAGGGAATGAAGGAAGCAAGGAAGTATGATAGTATTCTATACAACACCACACACACATACATACATACCCAACAATATATATATGGCCAGGGAATAGAAAAACATGAGTTGTACTCTGGGGAACTCTGGTTGTTTGGAGGAGGCATGTCTGAAGTATAAACAACTCCAACAACAACTGTCGAAATGTTGTACGTTAGGAGTAGCAAATACCAACAACAGTAACAACAACCAGACAATGATATTAATAAATTTAACATGTGCGTGCCTGTCAACTTATCTGTCAAAGTTTTGCTTCAAGTTAAACAAACACCAAAAGGGATAGAGAGAGAGAGAGCGAGAGAAAATTCAGACAATATATTAAGATAAAATAAAAAAACCCAGTAGAGAAATAGAGAAGACCGCAGATAAAGAAAGGCATTATTAAATGGGAGAGAGAAAATGAAAGATATGGGTTCAAGAAGTGATGCCAACACTGCGATTTTTTATAACTGTCAGGAAAATGATGAAAATACATATTTGGCATATTTAGAGTTGTATTTTAACATCAACCCGCAAGAATTTACTATTCTTGCAATGTTCTTTGATTTCATAAAGGGTTATTTCATAATCGGTTATCGAACTAAAAACTTTTAAATTCTTGTAGTTCTGGAATGGAAGCATATGATGACTGATTTTCCATCTATATTAAAAAATAAATGTTCTGTTCCAGAACTACAAGAATGAACAAATTTTCATTACGATAATCGAAAAAAAAAAAATGCAAAAGTAGTAGACTCTTGCAGGTTTTCGGAACAGAGCAAGAATAAATTTGAGTAAATGATACATCAATGCCCAGACCTTTGTTAAAATCCCGAAATTTTACATGTTGATTGTAGGGGCGACATCAGGCTCGGTTTTTGGTACTATAAGTTTACTAAATGAACTAAAAGGTACTAGAAAAATGCTTACCATTTTTTTTCGAAATTATTCGTTTGCAAAATCTCATTTTCAATATATATATTTATAAATCCATTGTAAGTACACAAATCAGAGGTGGAAATTTGATGTGAAATTTGACAAGGTAAATTACAGAAAATGCAGAGATGGGTACGCTTATTTAAAATGACTTTACCTTCTTAATATTATCATGGGAAATTTGTAATGAGAGTAGCTGATGGGGTATGGGATGATGTTGGAAATTCGAACATAAGGTGTACTTTAAGTACAAAAAGGGTGCTGAATTTGGTACCATAATACTAAATGACCAGAGGGATAAAGCTAAAATCCTGGCATAAGAAGAAGGTTGTGAAAGTAGGGTTGATATAAAGGCGAGGTTTTCGAAACGTGTGCTAAGTATAAGAGCTGGTACTGAATAAGAGGTGGTACTAAATTTGCTATACTTTGGGTTTAAGTGAACGGTAGGAACACCAGACCTAGCACTGACGCAAATGCTAGGATTTGCAAAGTTGAAGCAAAATCGGATTATCGTTTCTCTTTCTGTGCAAAAAATATATATTTTTGAAAATTTCGACCATTTGTGGGGAAGGTACTAGAAGGAGTGGGCCGATATATTCCATCTTAACACCAGATCTTGGGTTAATATAAATATTGGGATATGTGAAATTTGAAGACAATCGGACTCTTACATCACATTTTATGAGAGTTGTAATTATTCAAAATGTTAAACATTTGTGGGAGGTACTTGATGGAGTGGACCGATATTGTCCATTTTTACACCAGAACTAACACTGACGCAAATATTAGCCTGTGCAAAGATGGAGCTAAATCGGATTATCGTTTCTCTTTCTGTGCAAAAAATATATTTTTCAAAAATTTCGACATTTTTTGTGGGGGAGGTACCAGAAGGAGTGGGCCGATATTGCCCATCTCCGAACTCGATCTAAGTTTGACAAAAATATTACGATGTACCAAGTTTGGACCAAATCGGATACTCCCTTCGAGAGTTTTCGTGAGCACCAACCAGACAGACAGACAGACGGATCCACTCCAAATGTTCTGAAACAGATTTGGTCCAAAGAGACCTAGGATCTTAAACCTTTATTTCGCCTAGGCACGTTTTGACCATATCAAATGATATATACCCTCTATAGCCATATGGCTGAGGGTATAAAAATCACCCATAACTTGATATAAATTAGATGTTCGCATAAGAAGTACTGGACATTTATTAGTATACCAAAAAAATCCTTAATATTTTTGGATGTTTTAAGAAGTATATAAAATATATCAAAATAATATCTAAAAACTATTTGGTCTGTTCCAGAACTACAAGAATGTAAAAGTTTTTACTACAATGACCGATTTTCCCTCTATGATATCGAGAAGAATTGCAGAATTAGTAGAATCTTGCAGGTTCTGGAACAGAGCCCTTATTTTTTTATAAAGTATAATTCCATATCAATACCAAATTCTACATAAATATGATTATAAAAACCGCAACATGGGCCACACTCCCTGTTAAACATTGTGGCTATGAGCCACATAAAGATTACTCTCAGATAAATTCCTTGAAACAGCTGTGAAAAAAAGCTTTTTTCGTCATTCTCTCTCCCTCTCTAACATTTCGCTCTCCCATATAAAAATTCATCTTTATCCCCAATGAACCCCTAAAAGTATACTAACAAAACATAAAAAAAAATTCTGTGTGTAATGTGAGCAAAACTGTGTTTGCCTTTCATTGAGGGTTAGAAGCTTTGAGGAAAATTTTTCTACATTCAGTTTATAGTGGAGCATACGCGTGATGATAACGTACGAAAAATGCCTGGCAAAGGGCATGGATAAATAAAAAAGAACAAAAAAACGGGAACAAGCAAAGAGGGCACCAGAAATATGTAGCATAATTTTGGGGAGCTGCAAAGTGAAAAAATTTCAATAAAAAAAAGAAAAAAAGTGGAGAATAAATTTGTGCAATGTGGAATGTGTTTTGATGGAAATTAATAAAAAATATATAAAACAAAGCCCATTTTAAACGGAAAATATAAATAATAAAATATTAGAGGATTATTAACGGCAAAAAAAAAAGGAAAAGAAAAAAAAAGAAACAGAAAAGCCTAGTTGTAGGCCAAAGGCAGAGAGAGAGAGAGAGAGAGGAAAGGTAATACCCAAAAAATCGCTAATGAAATATTAATGAAACTAAACATTCCAAAAATAAATGGTGAGGCCAAGGGTAGGGTAGGTGTGGGGGGAGAAATACGGAAAAGAGCAAAAGTTAATTATTTCTACAAAAAAAAGACAACTTGGCTAGAAAAGGGGACAACTTCTCCAGCAATAAAACCCTTTTTCCTTAATTTCTGATAAAATTATATCACAAGGTCCAAACTTTTTCAAATGCCATTAAAAAGTATGATTCTCATGTGATACATAAAGATTCCTTCCCCCCCATTTTAAGGGTATAAAGGGTCACGACGTTAGCAGCAACAATCAAAAATAGCACACTCACAAAAAACACCTGGCGCACACAGCCACACAGCAACACCAACAATGTGGCATACTTTTGGGGATCAACGAATGTTGTTGGCCCAAGTATCACCGTTGTGTGTGCTTTGTTGGTCTCAAATGAGATTTCCAAATAACGGCAGACATTGTAAATCGAAATGTTGGTCCAAAATCAAATAGTGTCAATAAACTGGCATAGAAAATACAGGCTATGGCCTCCCTTCCCCCCAGCTCGAATCCCTGTGTGGTATGCTATATTGCTCATTTCAAAAGTATGCTAAAATCTAGAACATCGTTTGTTTTTCATTCTTCTTTTCATTGGAAAGGATGACATCAATTGGGCAAAATTGTAACATCGTTGCACCAAAAA